GCACCTACGGAACTTTCACAAAAAAAAGTCGAACATTTACAACGCTACTTGCACGGCACCAAGCGCTACAAATTCACCATAGAACCGACAACAACACTCAGAGCAAACACCAACAACATCCTGGATCTCGACGTTCATGTCGATGCCGGCTGGGCAGGATGCCCTACTACCAGGAAATCAACTTCAGGTTTCAACATTATCTTTTTAGGAACCAACAGTTGCATTTGGCAGCAGAGCAAAGGCAAGGCATTGTTCGTCAGACACAACCAGGATGCTGCAATAGCACTCAGCTCAGCAGAGTCTGAACTCTACGCCATTTGCACAGGAGTTAATGAGTGACTACACCTCAGAAACTTCCTACTTGAAACCAACATTTGCAGCAAGCTAAACCTACGCATCCACACAGACTCCACAGCAGGCAAGAGCATTGCTACACGACAAGGCACTAGCAAACGAGCAAAGCACATCGACCTCAAATTTCTCTACACACAAGACCTCATCAAACACGGCATCATCAGAATCCTTAAGATCAACACACTTCACAACAGCGCAGATTTGTTTACCAAATACATCAGCAAAGAAACACTACACAGGCTCATCCAGAGCGTTGGGATACGCATTTAGCACTACGAACGACCAGCACAACAGTCTCACAACAACAACAACGACTTTGGACATTTCTTGTATGTAAGCAGCTACATGTAACACGACACCTTTGGTATGTAAGTAACAGTGACTACATGTGCTTTCAATTGCACTTTTGGCGGCTGAGTCAACACTACAGTTGTTTGTTCTACATGTCTGCATGCGCCGCCTGCCTGATAGCTACTACTCAGGCTCATTTTGTTTTGCCCCGTTTCACTACATTTTGCATTCCACTGCAGCCATGGCCGCTCCATCTACTGCAGGTGCCACGATGGGAGACGCAACTACGCCTGACAAGGCGACTACACCGGAGGTGGCGGTCACTACAGACTCCAGTGACCAAGGAACTCCACCCCCTCAGACCTACAACGAGTCCAACTACCGCTTCAATCACTCCACGCCTGGCAACACGGCTTACTACAAACCGGCAACTGTCATGACCAGACAACCACTACTACAACACTGCCTGACAACACTCCCTACACTCAGTTTTTCACTGCACTTACACTGGAAGAGTATCAACTACTCTCACAACAACAAGCAACTCCACTTTCACAACTGGACTACACACGACCCATTCACTGCACCCCTGGAGACCTCCGGGTGCCCCACTACAATTCCACACTGCTCAGCGTTTCACTACCTGAAGCAGCCAACGTCCACTACTACCACACGACTTCACTCCACACTACGACTGGCAACAACACCAACTACGTCATCATGCAACTACAGATTGGACAACAACTACTCCCGAGGTACCTCACTTCAGGACAATTTCTCCACTTCACCAGAGACTACATTTCCTGCATGACGTCAGTACAACAGAACTACTACCTCCCAACTACGCAACATCCACAGACCATCTACAAGGTGGACTACGACATGACTACCTTCACCGACAACTACAGCCTGAGGAATAACGACATTTGGGTTTGATTGTTTTTTTTAACGGGGGCCGGGTACGGGGAATGATTCGTAGGTATGATTCGCGGGTGTGACTCGGGGTATGATTCGGGGGTATGATTCGCGGAAGCAGCAGCAGCAGCAGTAGTAGTAGTAGCAGTAGTCGTCGAAGTAGTAGCACTAGAAGTACTATTGTAGTAATTAACAATAATAGTAGTAGTAGTAGTCGTAGTAGTAGTAGTAGTTAATATTGTAGTAGTAACAATAGTAGTAGTAGTAGTAGTAGTAGTAGTAGTAGTAGTAGTAGTAGTAGTAGTACCAGTAGCAGTAGCAGTAGTAGTAGTAGTAGTAAATAGTAGTGGCAGTAATCGTAGTAGTAGTAGTAGTAGCAGTAGTAGTAGTACCAGTAGTAGCAAATAGTAGTAGCAGTAATCGTAGTAGTAGTAGTAGCAGTAGTAGTAGTAGTAGTAACAGCAGAAGCAGCAACTGTAGTGGCGCGGAAGCTTTGCAAAGACTTGGCGCTGGCCTTGGCAAGGCAAATTCATTGCGCGGGTATGATTCGGGCATGATTCGCGGGTATGATTCGGCTAGGTGAAAAACGGCACTGATTACAAACTGAGATTCACAAATGTAGTAGCAGCTGTGGTAGTGGTAGTAATAGTAGCAGTAGTAGTGGTAGTAGAAGCAGTTGTAGAAGTAGTGGTAGCAGCTGTAGCATAAGCAGCAGCGGCTGTAGTGGTGCGGACGCTTTGAAAAAGACTTGGCGCTAGCCTTGGAAGGGGAACCTCATTGTCCGGGTATGATTCGGGTATGATTCGCGGGTATGATTCGGCTAGGTGCAAAACGGCACTGGTTACAGACTCAGAATGATGTATGTAGTAGTAGTGAGTAGTAGCAGCAGCAGCAGCAGGAATAGTTGTAGTAGAAGTAGCAGTAGTAGTCGTAGTAGTAGTAGTAGTAGTAGTAGAAAAGGTTGTCGTCGTAGTAGTAGTAGTAATTAGTAGTAAGGGTAGCAGCAGCAGAAGTAGAAGCAGTAGAGTAGTAGTAGTAGTAGTAGTAGTAGTAGTAGTAGTAGTAGTAGTAGTAGTAGTAGTGGTGCCCAACACAAAACGGTAGAAGAACAGTAGCATCTTGCAGCATACGTTTTACGGGGTATGATTCGGTATGATTCGGGGGTATGATTCGGGGAGGTCCCACCTTCTGCCTTTTGAAGCAACTCAACACACCAAAAAAGGACAAACCCATTTGGAACTATCACATGCCACTACTTCTACCGGAACCACTCCACTACCTCTACAACCGCGACCAACTCCACGACTTTCAACACAAGGCAATTACTACCATCCTTTGCAAGAGCATCCAGTACTATGGTTTCACACTACTCACCATGACCAACCTTACCCAACACCACAAAGCATTACTACATCGTTTCCTTAAGGATTACGACCAACATATGTCGTGCCCTGAGATAGACGATGAGAGATTACGAGGCGCTCCAAACTACATGACAACCTTTTTCACCACCCGCTACTACGCGACCTTGGACAGTCGACCACAGATGGTCCAAGCCTACCGCGCCCAGAACTGGGCACTACGTGCTTGAGCTCCTGCTCTACTACAATGCTACAATGAGTAACTGCCTCACGAATCACGAATTCCATCCAGCGCCACTACATCGAGCTGGAACATGAACAGCGTGAACTACTGAGTGCAGGTTACTATTTTTTGCCACTACAGTAGAACTGATGAACAACAATCGTTTTCATCACTACTGTCAATCCATGTTTTGCACTTCAGTTGCAAAGGTATTACCAAGACCTTTTAACTGAGGGGCCGTGTCAAACTACATGCTTCACTTCCTTCATTTGTGTTGCATGTATGTTCACTACTGCAGGCCTTGAGCTCACTACATCGCATGAGCCAAAAGGTTGGCAGCTGCAGACTACATTGGTTGACTGTTTGTTTTAACACTACAGCACTTGCACTTGGAATCAAAAGTAGCAACCGATTTTAACGAGGGAGAGAGAGAGAGAGAGAAACAGGGTGAGACGAAAAGATGGAGCGGGAGAGATAGAGAGAGAGAGAGTGGAAAGTCAAGCCGGAGAGTCAGAGAGAAAAAGAACGAGAGATAAAAAGAAGGAAAGAGAAAGGAAACAAGAAAGAGAAAGAGACAGGCAACGAAGAAGAGAAAGAGAGAGAGAGAGAGAGTGAAAACAAAAAACAATTAAAGGGAAGAAGAGGGGGCGAGGGAGAGACACAGAGATGAAAGGATGCAGAGAAGAGAGAGAGAGAGGGAAAACAAGAGGAAGAGCAAGAAAGCCAGAGCGAAGAAGAGGGAGAGAAGGAGAGAGGGAAAGAAGGAGGGACAGAGAGAGAGAGAGAGAGAGAGAGAGAGAAAGAGAGATAAACAATTGGACAGAGAGAGGAAGCAAGAGGGAGACAGAGAGAGAGAGAGAGAAAGCAAAAAAAAACAACAGAGAGAGGGAGGGAGGGAGAGAAAGAGAGAGGGGAGGGAGCACTCTAACCTTTGGTTCTTGAATGAAAGTTGAACCCCCGTCCCGCGAGCTTTTCCGGTTTATCTTGTATGTGTGCGTGTGAAACATAAACAACCCGATGTGTGCGTTACAGTCGCACGTTTGTTTTCAATCAATCATCTGGGCGAGTCGAGCAAATAGTTGCAAACTACGAGAGATGACTTCAGGGGTGGGGGGTCGGGGGAGGGTAACAGTGGTATACACAAATCGGTTTGTCTTGGACTCTCTTTCTCGATCACTTCTGGGGCCGTGAAAATGTCAAAATGAAATTCACCATGTTGAGGGATGCATTCTATTCTGAGGCGCACTCATATATGGACATGTTCATGGCGCACGTACGCTCGCAGCGCTCAAACCACCAAACTCAGCTCCCCTTGGCGGCCTGCTGACTGACTGACTGACTGTCTAACGGAACTGACTAAAACCAACTGGCTGTCTGACATGATGACTGACCGGATGACTGACTGACTGACTGACTGACTGACACATTGCCTAAAACACTAATGGACAATCTGACGGAACGGACAAACTGTCTGACCAGTCCCTGACAACCCAGTGGTAGGTCCCGGAGAGGCATAGCAATTGCCCTTCGTTTTTGCCGTGCGCCTTCCGTGACTTACTAGCAATGTAGACAAGACCTAGGCCTGGTTTCTGGTTCCAAAATGTTGGTTCCCAGGATCACAGATTTGGACCAGGGTATGGAGCTCCAAATCCTTGCTGCACTTCATCTTATATGTGGGAATCGGTAGACACTGTGTAAAAGAACGGACCTGGACCTGCCTCTGACAATCCTGTATCCTGGAAAGTGTCATGCAAGGTGACCCTCCATTCTTTGAAGGCAGATTCTCAGAGGGTTTCAACCTCTCTAAAACAATCTGTGGCAACACCTGCCACGCCCGATCCGAGGCAAATTCCGTCCTCTGGCTCTCCGGGCTCAATGTTTTTGAGGGCCTCAACGTCGATCTTCAAGCCCTGCAGTCGAGGCGAGTGACTGGTTGGCCATTCTCATGAGTCATTCACCACTCTTTGGATCTGTGGCCGGTTGGCAGCCAACAGGGCGAATGTCGAGCGCAAACACTGCTGCATTCAATTTGACTTGTGACATCAAGGCCAAGCCCGAAGAGAGGCTGCAACCATTGCACACCCCGACAGCACTTGCCGAGAATCCTTGCCAACCACAGAATACCAGGAGACTTGCTCACACAGTGGCAGGCCGTGGGTTTGTTCTGCCACCGTCTGATGGCAAGCAGGGGCGATGCATCCTAGGGAATGGCACGAGCAAAATGGCGGCTGATGGACAAGGCAAGCGCTATCTCAGAGACCCTCATGAACAAAAACCTCAGCCCTCAGTTCAATGGTCCAAAGGCCAAGTTCAACCAGCCCACTTTCTGAAAGAGCTCTGGTTGAAAGAGCGAGCTGCACGAAAGCCGCGAAAGAGACCATGTGACAGCACGAAAGGGCTCACTCTGGCCTTCAAGATGTCCTTTGGGCCCTGCCACGGCCGGCTGAATGTCCGACGACCGAAAGGGGACCAAAAACAAGTAACCCTCCCACAAAAAGCGTCCACTGCTCGCATCCAGGTGGAGATTCCCATGCAGTTCATCATCTGGAGCGGGCACGGCCAAGCCTGCAGTTCCGTCCATGGAAAGTGCAGCTTCTTGTGCGGATTCAAGCCTCCTGGCATCACGACTGTAGCAAATGTGGCGAAGCAATCCTGTAAATGAAAATTGTGCTCTTGGCCAAGGTACAAGCACAATCTCTGGTCCAAGCTACATGGCACCCATTCTGGACATGCAGTGAGTCAGGGTCGCTGCTTCTTCAAAATCTGGGAACCCATGGCTCATGCCCTTGAATGCAGATATGACCACAAATTCTGCTCAAATCAACACAGCGATGAATAGCCTGTCCCTTTCCGAGTCAGCCCATCGGGCACCTTGTGATTTCTCGTGGCCATGCATTGCAACAATCGACCTGTTTCTCAAAACGACTCCGTTTGTTTCGACTTCAGCACTTTCAGTCTGATGCGAACACTTTGCTCGTTTGTCACAACTCAAAGGTGGCCAGTGCCCGAACGCAAGTCTCATGTGTTGATGTTCCAGGCTTCCACGACGTGACGCTTTTCTGCCATTGGCAAAGCGAGGCAAAAAAGAGCATCTCTCAAGTTGCCCACAACATAATTGTTCGGGAGATGCTCTTCTGTACATTCGGCAAGCACCCCAGTCTCCCAGCTCAGGCAAGGACAGCTTGCAAACTGGGGAGGAAAAGAATCATGCGCTCGCTTGGGGCCATAGTGAGGGGCCATCCACGGCCATTGCCATCACCTAAATCAGTGCTTGATGCAAAAAGGGCCGCTTAGGCCTAAGCCACACTCGACCGCAAGAACACACTCAGGCTACAGGTTAAACTTCTTCGGACACTTCCTCCACTAAGGTGCTTCCTCAGAATTAAGGCAGACCTTAGCTCTTCTTGCAAAGGTAAAGACCCTCAGAGAGAAAAGTGAAACACATGGCAAAGGATACACCCGTTCAACAAAGGAAGCCAAGTACACTGAATCATTTCTATTTCTCGCCATAGACATAGACACACTATTGTGGGCTGACCTGTTTGTGTGCAGGGGCCTGCTGCCGTCGCGAAACTGGCGGCAACTCAAAGACCGTGTCACTTCGTCTGCGCTGAGCAAGCCCTTCACGTTCTCATTGCCTTCGTGAGCCTTGACAAGGGGCCTCTGATATCTGAGTGGCGAGTCGTCTTAAGCGCTCAATGTTGGGCACCTCCAGGTTCAACGCGAAGAAGCCATGCTTGCATTCGTCCATTGCAAGGTGTTGCAAGGCTTAGTAGGCGTTCGAGGCTTTTGCAAACATGTAGCTATACTTAAGCCTTCGATGGGGCGCGCCACCACGATGCTTGGGCACGGGAAACTTGCGAGGACCTGGCTACGAACATCAAACGAAGCAAATGAAATTCAACCTTCAAGAGTGCAGGGGACACAGGCCATCCCAGCTTGGCCGCTTGTAAACTGGTTCACTGCCGGACAAGGACACTTAGACGGGCATTTGACTGTGAGTTCAGGCTAGCTACACTTCTCGATTCAAGCACTTGCCAGCACATTAGTACGAATTTGCTTCAAAGCAATCCCGGCAAAAGGAAGGTCCGATATGACCCTCCCCCAATCTGTGGCGACAAGTTCTCGGCCCATCCTGGATACCAGGGCCCAGCCCAGAGAGAATGGCGCACTTTGGCCAAGTGAATCACCAGGCATCTGGCATGCGGTGTGAGCGCCGCTCCATGTTTAGGATGTTGCTGATGCCATGCATTGGCGGGGATACCATGATATACTGGTCCAGGAATGTGCCCGCCTCACGGGAATTAAATAGCTTGGGCATTGGCAAGAAAGGCTATGCGTTTGCCAATGAGGCTCTGACATCCATCCGGTAGTTCTGGTGCCACAAAGGGCAATGACTGCTACTCTCTCCTTTCCGTTTTTGTAGGCTCCATGCTGGAGAAACTAAATGTATTGAAACCCGAACGACTTTGTCAAACAGCGCAAAGTGTCCCATCGATGAGACTCGCCCAATGCCTCGGACATGTGTTGATGCCCGCTTTACGTCCCTGCCTTGCGTTAATTCCCGCCGCATCCGCCCGATCAACCTGGCCGCATGCAACGCGGGCAAGCAGAAATCACGTGGATTCACGTGGCATCACATGTTGACCAAGATGACCAAAAAGAAACTTGTGGTCAACTAACAGCACCAATGGCAAACAGTATCAAGCCCGATATCAAATGCTGTGATTGCTCTTTGCTGCTTGATTTTGTCAGGTCCGTGGATGCGTGCCCTGCGATGGACACCCGTGGAGCCATAGCAAGTCATTGACATGCGAAGGCGCACCTTCCACCAGGACAAATCCCGATGGATGTCACCACAGGTCTCCTGGGTGCCATGAACCGATCTGTCAAACTAGAAACATGGCACCCTGAACCGATCTGTTTTGGCGTTTGTCACTAGTGTTCTCTGGTTGTTCTGGCCAAACGGACGGAATACCAACAATGCTGGGCGAAGCTGTTGCACGGGTTAGATGCTCTAACCGTTTAACCCTTCCGATGCGTCCTCTTGGCGAGATGCAACGCCAGGCTATGAAAGCAAGGTACCCGTTCAAACGCCACACCCTATGCAAACTTATGCAACCTATGCACCTTGTGTTTTTGCACCCTGTACAAATCACAGCGTGACATGGCTAGGCGCCCTCTCCGCAAGGCCCGCTGGCACTTGAAGGTCAAATCACGAGTCGCTGAGTCGCCCGTAGGCAATTTCAACATTGCGATCCCAACTCAGAAGTCAAAAGCGGCTTGCGAGCGCTTGCTACACCTTGCTGCAAATGCCATTGCCCTCCACGGATTCTATCGAACGACTGCCATTTGATCTTGCTCGGCTCTGTCAGCGCAAGAGTGTCTGTGAACAAGTTCGTACGTTTAAAACGCTCGTCTTGTATTGGCTGCCTTAGGAAGAAACTTATTGCATCCTCTTGCTGGCTTGCCAAACCCTATTACGACTTACGCCCCCTTCGCCTTGCTCAAGAGTTTGGGCTGAAACGCACTGAGCAGCTCAGTTTTTTTTCTGAAAAGGAGTGTGAAGTAAATTGGCAGCATGCTCAGTTTGGCGCGCGACGAGTCAGAAGCACTAGGTTGCTCAAGTTGGCTAGATCAGAGTCCTGATCAAACAGCTTTGAGTCACAGCCTGGCCGAGGCAAAGCGATAACAGCAGCTCAGGCAATCGCTAACAACTCGCAATAACCGTATCTTTGCCTGGCAGTTTTGGCTCTGTTTTATTGGTATGAGCTCCAGCAAATTGGCTTGCTATGTTTGCTTCACTCCGCCTGCGACGCGCTTGCTGACAACGATCTTCCAGCAGGACATCTCAACCTCTCGGCCATGGCTCGAAGCAAACTCACAAACAAAGAACGGCAACTACAGTTCTTTCCGTGCGTCGGGCAAGGCATTTGTTGAACCTTAGCCTTGCAAAAAAGAAGAGTGAATCACAAACAAGCAAACAAACATGTTCTGCTTGTAGCACTGCAGACCCCAGACTTCAGCCTTCAAATTGACGCAAACCAGTTCAGCTAAGCAACTCGGGAATCATTTCTACTGCGTATCCACCATTGCACCTTTGGGGGTGGGGCAAGGCCTCCCTCTCAAAGGCCTTGAAGTTGTCCTCGTCCAGCTCTGTGTCAGTTTTCTCCAGGGGGCAAATGAGCATCATCCTCTCGATGCGCCATGGATGAGGCTGTGAGATGTCATGCCAAGAACTCACCAGCCAAGTGAGAAAGGACAACACAAACCACACTTGGAACAAATTAAAGATCTGCCACTTTTGGACACAACACGACACAATTGTGAAACAGGTCCGCGCACAGGCCTGCCCAGCATAACGAGTACTACTGGAATAATTTTGCCGTCGCCGTGTTTGGAGATCAGAAACCGGTTGTCTTTGTTGATGCTTTGCAGGAACCTTGTGAACCTGTCAGGAATGTGAAGTTGTGAAGAAAGTTCTAAGAAATATGAACCCACAAGCCTTGCGAATCCATGACTGTAAGTTAAAGCGCCGAATTGTTCACAGCATGACAGTTCCTATGGCTTGCTGCAGCCAGCATCCCAAGGAGACTTTGTGTGTGTGTGTGTATTTGTCATGTAGCGAAACGTAACGTAACGTCATGTGATGTATTGTAATCTCTGCGTGTATGCGAGCATGCGTGTCATGCAATGTAACTATGTGTGTAAGTACGCATGTGATGTTATGCTCTGGTATGATATGCTATGTGTGTATGTATATATGTATGTTATGAACAGAAACTACGACTACTACGAATTGAAAACAAACAACTTGCGTTATTCCGAAAGGCTCTGCCCTCACAATAAGCGCTGCCACGTTTCGGGAAAACGTGTGTTGTCACAGCGCAGCCTCCCCCAGAAGCGAACGCACAGCACTTTTGAAACGAGACCGAGTCCGCGAGAGAGGCAAACATTCCCAAAAAAAACAGCCACACGTTGAGCGCCGCTGGCGCAGACATAGGCTTGCATTCTTTTTGGCTGCGGCGAGCAGGTCTGCCTTGCCCGGTCTATCTCAACTGGCTGCGGGCCCGCAATGTGAAAGACACGGTCCTCGGCTTTTGAACTTGGGCGTTTTAACATACTGCGGGAGGCCGCGTAGGAGGAATAAACATTCTGTTCCAATCTTCCAACATAATCTTCCTAACATTTTTAAATGTCTCCGATACTCTTCGGGATGTTTCCGCTTTTTTGGAATGTTTCAGATATTCTGTGGAATGTTTTTGATATTTTGAAATGTTACTGATGCTCTTTGGAATGTTTCTGATCTTACTCGAAATGTGCGTGATCTTCTTTGGAATGGTTGTGACCTTGGTAAGCTGTTCCTCAGGATTTGTGAGCGCTTCCAGAATGCTAGTTTGTTCAGGCTGGGCGCTGCCGAGTTGAGTTTGCTCTGCAAACCAGCGGCGTTGCTTTCGAGTTTAGCCAGCATCACTTTGTTGGCTTGCGCGCCGCGTGAAGCCATTTCAGCCAAGACGGCTCCTGCCAGAAGCGCGGCTTCGAGCGGGATGATGCGCCTGAAAACAGCGAGCCTAGTGCCAACCAACGCGGCCAGCGCCAGTGCTGACGCGGCCGCAAATGAGTCTAATGCACTCATGATGAGTTGCTGGACATGATTGCGGCGAGCCCCTTTGGCGGACACGCGTAAGGCGAATAGACCAAGAGCAGCAAGCTCAAGAGGGCGAAGACAGGGTTGGCGCCATGAAGGCGGGAAGGGGGGCGGCGAAGGCGTAGAGGCCAAGGCGCCAGAAAAGACAAGAAAACCGTGCAAAAACAGAGCGCCTGCGGCAAAGCCAGGCCTTCAACGTGTCCAGCCTAGCCAACCCAGGATCGCCTTTTTTCTGCCTCTCTCACAGGGCATATCCCGGGAAAGGTAAGAGGCAAAGCGCAGCGGAATAGGTGGACAGCTAAAGTCTGTTCTTCGCTGCGGCTTTGCTTACGAGACTGCCACGCGTAGGCAAGTTGTGCGAGAAGTGTGCGTGCAGGCAGGACAGAGCAGGCGACGCCGTTGCTGGCAGGGCAAGCAGAGGCAAGGAACTTGCAAAGCAGTAAAAGCGGCGTCTCATTCCGCTGCTAAAGAAAAGAATGACGACGATCTACATGGACAGCCGCAAGAGGGTGGCTGGCTCGCGACTTTAAGGTCAACCTGAGAGAGTCCCTGCTTGCAGAGAGCAACGCAGACTGCTGCTTACAAGATTAGAATCGCGGACAGCTTACGCTGGACTGAATAGGATTTTCTCAGAATCATGCTGATCAGGTCTACGCTGGCTCGAATACTCAGCAGGCGGCCGACGAAAGTTGCTTGGCGCCTGGCTCGAGGCTGCCGCTTGGCCGGGCAGCTGCGGCGGCCGATCTTCGCGAACTCTCTGCCGTTGCGCGCTCGCGGCAGCAGCCGCCACAGGGCGTGGCACAGCTGCCAGCCCGTTGGACTTGAAAGCATGAGCGGCAGAAAGTGCATGAGAATCGTGCGACACCCCCCCGCGATGAACGCAGCTACTTTGTGGGATGCCCTTCGGGACGGGCATGGCGGGCTCATGCAGGACTCGCCATCGCTTTCGTTTGCTTCCAAAACCCGGCCAACCTCAAGATTCTTCTGCGCTGCAGCAAGTCTCTGCTTGGAGGGGCGAGTTCAGTCGCAGTTCCACTGATTCCACTGACAAAGGCACATCCACAGCGTCTGCCTTGCAGACAACTGCGTCGCCGCAGATGTTCGATCGGCAAAGTTCCCACGCTTCCGCCCCATGGCGCCGGGGAGACACGCAGTTGATGCGTCGCTGGGGAAACGTCAGAAGCGCTGCGTTGGCTGGAACAGGCGAACATGCAGCCGGCTTGACCTTGGTGGTCTTTATCGCAGCATGCCCTCTTTGTTGTTTTTGGGGTACCCTCGCCAGAGTTGTGTTCAACGCACGCCAAAGAAAGCCTTGAACTGTCATCGTTCTCTGAGCATTCGTTTCCGTTTGGCGCTTTCCCACACTACGTCACGCCTTCGTTCGATAACAGGCGGAAGGTCATCCGGAACCTAGTCCTCGTCATCAGCCAGTCGACCAGGTTTGTCAAAGCTTCTGCGTCAACGCCAGCCTCGATCCCAGCAAAGCATTTTGGCTTGAAGTCCACAAGCGCCAAAAGGTGTTTCTCGCCTTTGAAGGCTCACCCTCACCATGCGCACGAAGCCACGCGCCTCCTCAACGTTCATGAGGCGAGAAAATGTCGCGATGGCATGTGCTCACAATCCCGCGGGAGCTAAGCACGCTGTCGTCTGGTCAACGATGAAGCGGTCTACCTGGTAGCGATAAACCATGGTTGCATGCATTGATCAGTTCAGGCGCATCGTCCGGCTAGGCTTGTTTTATCTTTCGCCTGTCGAAAAAGGTTCGAAGTTTTTCTTCCCTTTGTAAACCCTGCTAAACTACTGACACGCTTCCCACCGACATACTTCTTGCCTGACACCTCGACCAAGTCAAATGTCACGAGGTCCCGAACGCCCGCGAACGCCTTCGTGTCTTTGGCTTTGATCTGAAATGTCTCATCTTGTCTTTCACGCATGGCTCGCAGAATGGGTTCTGGGTCCGCGAGTCAAACGTTTGCGCCGCTATTCGGTTCACCAGCCTTTCTCGCGGCGGAAGATCCTTCACACGCGTCAACTTCTACTCCAGCATCTGGGTCATGGTCATCGCGCACACCCGCAACATTTTCAACGCTGGGCGCCGAACCAAAATCGTCCCCGTCAATGTCTAAACCGTCCTCTACTCGCGCGGGCGCCAGCAGGAGGCCCAGAATCAACGACTTCATGGAACAGCTTCTTTGTTCGTGAGAGCAGCGCGCTCGTCACTGCCATCGTCGTCTTCTTCCACATTGTGACAATGATGGCAACCCAGCATGCTTCTCAAATATGCCATGCGGTTGATTATGTTGCAACTGGTTCCCAACTTTCAAATGTTGACGAAGCGCAGAATCTTATCATGTAGGTGCGCAATCTCGCTGCCGGGCGCTCTTCCGCAGGTTCGCTGGAACGAGAACCCCATCCTCAGACATCGTCGCCCAGAACGATCGGCTCCACGGTCTCATTGATCCCTCTGGTGTAGTACTTCATTGTTTCAGAAAGAGTGAGTAAGTGAGTGAGTGAGTGAGTGAGTGAGCGTGTGTGTGAGTGACTGAGTGACTGAGTGAGCGAGCAAGTGAGCGAGTGAGACAGTGAGTGCAGTGCAAAAGTACAGGGCGCAATTACAATTGAAGAATTGTAACTTAGTAAAGGGTACACATTTTAAGGCAAGGCGCTACAATACCCTAACAAGGCTAGTGTTGGCTTTGAATTTGCCTAATCTAGCAATAGAATTGGGGGCCCGGCTGTGTAGGCAAACTTGAGAAAAGCCGTATTAATGAGTATGGTGCGTTTATCAAAAAACAAAAAATAACCATCTCATGCACGGCGAGCGCGCTTGAGCTTGGGTTCCTGCCAACTGCGGGCACGGATGCGCTGGTGCGCGCTTGCACTTGAGCGCCAGCGCGGTCGGAACGCACAATTCTCATAGGGGTCGCGTTAAAAGCGCCGCGCGTGCTGCTGGACCTGCTGCCGCGCCCGCTTGCGCAGTCCATATGGGACCTGTTTTCATAGACGACGTGGGAAAAGCGCCATGCCTGGCACGCCTGCCACACAGACAAAACGTGTGAGGATGCGCTCGCTTCGCGTGCTTACAGGAGGTCGCAGACAACAACAACATCGAAAAGAACAGAAAGCAAAAACAAGAACAACAACACCGCCAAAAGCAGCAGCAGCAACAACACAACAAACAACAAACAAACAACATTCAACATGCAACAAACAACAAACAACAAACAGCAAACAACAACAACAAGAACAACAACAACAACAAACAACCACCAACCAACAACCAACAACCAACAACCACAACCACAACAACAACAAACAACAAACAACAAACACAAAAAAAACAAACACAAACAGCAAACAGCAAACAACAATCAACAAACAACAAAAGACACACAACGACCAACAAGCAACAGCAGCAGCAACAAGAACAACAACAACAACCAAACAACAAAAAGCAGCAACAACAAGAACCAAACAACAACAACAACAACAACAACAACAACAACGACAACAACAACAACCAAACAACGACAACAACCAAACAAC